AAAAAAAAAAAAAGACCTAAAACCACTACAATGGTATATGGCCCGCACCATTTTGCTTAAAGTAGTTATTTATGGAAGGACTTTTCAAAATCAGTTATGGTATGGAAAGTAGTTGGAAAGATGTTCCGATTCTGATCATTTTCAAAGCCTTCAGATCATTGTACCACATTTCATCGAAACACCTTGAAAGCTCAAGATCGCTTTATTGTGCCTGTTTTAAACCAAAAGCGACCTCGTCTTTGTTCAGTAATAATATTTGATACTTTGTTAAACTCGATCCACGCTGAACAGTTAAAAAGCTATTGGAAAAAGATGAATAAGTTAAATAGCATCCTTCCTTTAGAAAAAAAATTTGTGACCAAATCTTTCCGGTCATCAAATAGTAAGTACTTTTAAAGCAGTTCTTTAACCAAATATTTTGTTTTTTTATTATGGAGTAGTAATCGTTGATAGGCTTTTTTCTACACATGTGAATGGGAGGGAAAGAGAGAAAGCGAATGGCCGGCCACAGCCACAGCAGATGCTGGCGGTTGCTGTTGAAGTAAGCGCTATGTCATTTACTGCCTGAGCAGTCACTATAGCCACGGCCGACCATGTGTGGGTGCTACCGTTTGGGCGATAGCTTAACAAAATATTTAGAGATTGCATGCAATTAAATAGTTTAATTTTTCAATTTTTGAACATCATCTCAGATAATGAATTTTAATTTGCTTTTGTCAATTCTTAGCGGACGGCATTCACTACTGGGGCCTTTGAAGTCAATTATAGCCTAGTGCTTCTCGTCGTATTTCCCGCATTAACTAAAAGAATTCTATTTCGATTTAAAAGGGAAGGAAGTTACTAAATGAACAAATTTAGTTGCATGCTGTTTATATTGAGCAAGCGATAAACCTGCCCGGTATGCCTGTGAATAGAGAACGTAATGAGACAATATGAGAAGAGAACAACGCATTTAGCTATAGATTTACGTTTATAATTGAATTATTTCTCTACCGTGAACATGCTTCTGTGACATCGATAATAAGTATTAAGTAGATTATGAACTAACATAAGGTAGATAGATGGCAGATGTAGATGTAGATGTAGATGAGCAAATAAGGAAACATGAAACGAAAGAATAGAGTAAATAGCTATGTAGATAATTATGAAATTTAAATACTGGTAATATTTTACAAGAAATTATCTCTCTATGAACATTTACCTACAATATGAGAATTGCCTGCATGCAGAGGCTTTCATATAAATTCTTCACAGTTAATCACTTATCAGACATATGTTCAATCTGTGAGCATACATCCTTTAATGTCAATGAGTAACTTATTATTAATTTTAGGTTTTGCTTAAAATTCATAGCACTAGCATAACTAAGAGAAAGAAATAACACTAAAGTAAATTGAATGCATCGCAAAGCAAATGTTGAAGTAAGCAGCACAACTTTAAAGAAATATTAGAAAGTCTCTGATCTGAGAATTGGAAAACATAGACACGCTAGAAGTTCTGAGCAACTCTGCTAAGCTTTTATATCGAGCAATGTTATCTCGTTATTGTTTTTTTCTATAGCCTACAATACTTGTGCTGCTGGGGTATATTAAGCTTATGCGGGTGCAAGCAATACCTAGAAAGACTTGAGGTAGGCCCACCTTTCTTTACAAGGTGATTCTCAATTGATCCCTGCCTGTCTGCCCGTCCGCCCCTCTTGTTCTCTTTTTGTGTTCAACCCGCAGGCAGCAATGTCTGGGATATTTTGGTGAAATTTCGTATACTGACAACCAATCACTTCTCATATATGGCCTTAGTTTGAAAAGTCTTTATATGCATAACCGTAGTTTGGTGCAGGGTGTTTCATGGCGAGACGCGGTCCACTGTGGTATATTTACTTATTCAGTTTATAAAATAAGATGGAAAACCGAACAAGTTTATAACAAAGAAGTAAAAAAACGTTACAGATGGATAAACCAGACTCTATGCTCTTCTGCCAATATCTTAATTTATAATCGCAAGTATTAAAAATCTTTTTTCACAAGGGGAGATGCGACAAGCATGCAAATATGCATAAACCAAGATATTTCCATCCCTTCATATGCACTAGATTTCGATCGGGCTTAGGAAACGACGATGTTTGACAGTACTATTGATTCGATACTTGTAAGACTTTCCATTGTGTAGGGACACTACAGCTAGGTAAAGCGTTACCAGCCAAATAACTCGTTAACCAACTTTTTAATACATCTAGCGGCTCAAGCTGTTATTCAATTTTCATTGCTTACCTTTCAATCGTCAACATTTCGAAGATCTTTCAGAAAAAAAAAAATTTCACTTATATAAACCTACTATTATTGGCATCCAGATGATTAAAAAAAAAAAAATCGTTTTTTTTTATTTTAATTGAAAATTCTCAAACAATGAAGAGCGAACTTGTAGAAGAAAGAATTTTTCTTTTCTGGCTGTTTTTCTTGCTAGGCTAAGCCGAATTAGCCCAGACCAAACGGATGATCGGGCGAAATGGATACGTATTTAAATATCTCGCCAGTGTTAGTGCATAGATGCGGCCATTGTTTGCTTGGCTGCGCTCCCCAATGAGCACAATCAGAAGCCGCTTCGGTTCCCGGTTGGTAAATAATTTCGAAAGGCTTATTATCGAAATCATAATTACAAACAAAGTAATTGCAGTATCGATAGTATCTTCCTGGCCTTCATAAAAATAATTCTTAATAAAATTTTAAAATTAAATATTTTTCGAGTCGCTATGCACTTACGAATGAGTGCAATTATAACCAAACCCGTAAGCGCAACCCATGCGTGATAGTCGTTCTTGAATGAGCCGTATAAATTTTTGAGCCCTGCTTCCAAAAAGTCTATAGGTGTAACATAGATATATATATATATATATATATATATATATATATATATATATACATATTAGGAAATGCTATGTCGTTTAATGCGTATTATGAGAAATAAGAGGCACTTACTGGGAAGTGCAGTTTGCTGCCATAGCTGTAGGGTCTGGTACTGATGACTTCGTCTCGTAGGCAGGCATAAGGATTTCAAGCATTACGTCAAAAACGCTAGCAATATCTTGCTTTCCTTTAAAGCCCTATTAAGGAAGAAATAGATGAAAAAATTTTACAAACTCATATCCGTATCACTTCATGTGGACTTCGTACAGTGATTTGGGAAACGAAATTCAAACGTTTTGAGGCCACGCAATCTACTTTGAATTGCTTTCCCCTTTTTACTTGATTTGAAGCCAGAAAATTCAATTCGTTGTCCCAAATAAGTTCGCGCATTCTCGTCGCAATTTGGAAGGTTTTACCTTCCTTGCCTCCAATCTCATTGCCGCTAGCTACTTTATCACGCCAACCATTGTGAAGATCTAAGAGAAATCTTTTCACTTTTTTCGTGATCGGTAACAAAGGTGCCATCCTTTGGCACTCATAATCCGTACTTAACTCCGGAGCACCGCATTCTAAATGCATTTTGCCTGGTCTGCATATTTTTTTTAATGTCTCGTCCTTACAATATTCATATGCATCGACCATAACATTGACACTTAGGAGAAATATCGCAATTAATATCACGTTTTTCATCGTTGCCAAAATCAACATAGTATAGCTTGCGACCACAAAAGTATAGCTTGCAACCACAATGATGACTTCAACGAACGAAAGAACAAAATTATATGTATTTTTATGTGTTTTTTCAAAATATTTTTGACTGTTTTCCACAGTTGCTCTTGACAACAATATTGGAAACTGCATTGTTTGCTATGCTTACTATGCTTAAATTTATAATTTTACAAAAGGTTAAAGTACTTCGTAACATTTAATTCCGATTAGATAGCAGAACGTTCTTCCTGTCAGCACATGAACCGTATCAAGACTAATTAATTTAGCTCACAAGTATTATTTATTGTTAGGAGAATCGTGGCTACAAACTCAAGCGTTCGCGGTTTCAAATATCAGCGCAGTAAAGCTATAGTGAATGTTCATTCAGTCGGTAAAGGCATAACAATTATCGATTGGACAAACACCCACTAGGCCACGACCACACCATTTCTCTATTGCTTTCCTCACTCCTTTTCGAACGCCAAAGCGTTATATGCAGGGGGCATGCCCTGAAGAAAAGGAGAAACAAAAAAACGCTTTTGATTTGAAGAACACAATCGAAGGCCCGAACACGCTCGAATATAACGAAATAACTGAAAAAAAGGGAAAATAAACGAAGTGTTCTTTTATGTGTGCCGCGTGGACAACTACATCGTGAAGAAGCCAAATGCAAAGACATTTCTATTAAATATTCCTGCATTTAATATGCTCACGGGGAATCTATTTAGTTTCATTAACGAAAGCAATTGCGGAAACGTCTCCTAACCACTTTAGGGAAACACGTATGACCATTGCCGATAGTCTTCCCCTTTTTAGATCTAATAGATCATCTATATGAAAGTAACGTAACAGTTGGATGTTACGAAGAACAGTCACAATGTGTGTGCATCTTATTATGGTATTTCCCAAAGGTGGACGTACCTTTCCCTTTTTCCTTCTTGTGTGAAAAGCCAAAAAGAAAATAAATAATCGATTACTTCTTTCGTCCGCGAAATCTGAACACATTTAGAGAAATTTGCAATGAATTGCTCCTCAATCGGCGGCAAGCATTTAGTCATAAGTAAACGTCAGTAAGTCATTACTAGTAATTTTTTCGTTGCTATATCCTCCGTCAATGAAAAATGGTATAATCAGTAGATCGATCTATCGTTCAGTAATTAAGTTAGAGGAAAAAGCTTTGGATCTTTAATGTTATTCGTGAAAATTGCCGTTTATCGCATCTGAAGCTGGATCCAATATAATCAGTTCTAATATGTTCGCTGTTCTTATATATATAAACAAATGTACATATGTATGCATACATGTTCATATATATATATACATATACACATACTTACTAATGAAGTCAATCTTGCCAATTTCAAAGTGGGTGTGAGCTTAGTATGCTGAAGCAAATCGCGACTTGTCCAGCTTCTAATACTATCTTGAAGCTGCGAGCAACAGTTATCGCATTTGTTGTTTGTCCGAGGGAGAGCCTGCTCGAAAGAGGCCCCAATCAATTAATTGTCATTTCCACACGGAATTCATATCCTATCTGAAAGAAAGAAAAAATAAGGATCAGCGATGGATAACATTTTGTAATGAATGACAATTTTTTGATTTTTTGGTCACATAGTCCTTGGCCGACTTTAGAACATTTTCAGAGCATTACGATTTACGTAAGCGTGGCAATTTCGATAACGCATGTTTTTAGTTAAAGCGACATGAAGAGTTTCTGAAAAAATCTTTATATGATAACTGATAGGTTTCTCTGAACGATATACAAATCATATCATCATAAAATAAATCTTGTATAGTTTAATAGCAATAATATATGTACATATATATGTATACATAAGGAAGGAAGTTAAATAGATTCTCAACATGAAGTAAAGATGGAAGCTGCTTATAATCGCTATTGAAAAATTTTCATGGCTATATATGAATGTATATATATATATATATGAATATATATATATAAATTTTAATATGATAATTTGTTTGTTAATATTTAAACTTAACGCCTGATTGTTTGTTACTTTTTTTTTGATTTTTTATTTTTTTCTTTTTCTTATTAAATGAAAATTAAGAAGAAAAAGTTTTTAATGTTTTATTTTAATCTGCTCAAGCAGAAAATACCATAATTACCCTGAGTGTAAGACTTTAAGCTCCAGCCTTTCTATTTATAAATGCACACACGCACACACATCCAAATGAATTACATGAACCATAAAGAATAAGAAATATTTCTTAAGCTTCGAAAACACTTGACCAATGGCTCGGTCAGCCAGCCTCCACAATCAACCAGTCAAACTTCATCAAAGCAACCCCTAACCTGTCTCATAAGATGAAGGATATATGTATATATATATATATATATATATATATACAAATATGCGTTTTGCTTTATCGTACAGGCTCCAATTAAGGAAAAAACCCGTAACGTAGCAGTGGTAGTAGTAGTAGTAGTAGTAGTAGTAGTAGTAGTCAGTATTTGTATTTATTTTTATTGTGTTAAGAATCCTTAAGTAAAATAGGGAGTAAAACAACAACATATATAAAACTTTTAAGCTGTTTACAATATAAAAACATGCATGCACTTTCTTAAGTCTTTTTCCTAACACACATACATACATACATACACGCAATCTTTCACATATATTTGCAAAGACGTTTCCTAGGGCTTTGTATGCCATACATAGATAGAAAGATACGCTTAAAGTAGTTATACGGTTATTAGTTATTTACGTAAATTTTTAGTAATAAATTTTAAATTTTATTATTTATTATTTATTCATAAGTCTTTTAAATATTTTCTACACGCATGCAGATTGATTGCCTTGATGATGATTTCTTTTAAAGTGTTTCCGTAAACATATGAGTGCGTACGGGTTGTGCGGGTATTATTTTTTAGTCAAAGAGGATTTTATTTTTAGGAAAATTAAAAGTTTATTATTAGGACAAAAACTGCTTAAGGCTAAATACCATTTGATGACATATCATTTAATTCTGTATTCTGCATAGTTGAAGATTTCTCTTATCAATAAATTACCAAAGACTTCCATCGTAACATAAAGTGATGACTCTGCGCGCATCATAGAAAATACAAAAATACAAAAATTAAGAAAATTGAAGCAAAAAACTAATAATTTTCGCATAAAGCAATAGAATACGTTCCACTCCGATGCCTCATCTAACACCATCCCCTATTCGTTAATAGTGCGTAGGGCAAATAATACCATTTCATCTCAAGCGCATGGGTAGACGCTGCAGAGACGCTCAACTTTTCTTTTCTTTTTTTTATCGAATGAAACGTATTTAGCTGTTTTAAGCATTCCGTCTGTCCAAAAACATAGCCTTTTATAAGTTGCCACTCCGGGACCCGTACAAATGTAACGATATATTATATATAATATAACATATAATAATATATATTATATATGATATAACAGTCTTACTAAAGTACATTCATAAACTACTAAAAACTAGACTTTGCTGACACATATGGGCTGACTTGTTTACAAGCAACTTTATATGGAAGTGGCTTTACGAAAGGATCGCATTTTATCCTATTATTATTATTATTATTATTATTATTATTATTATTATTAATACTTTCGCCAGAGAAATAAATTTTATTAAAAACTCTACCGCACTTGAGATTTGAATCCACGACCATTGAGTTGCTAGTCGAGATGCCTCGCCTTCGGCCACTCAGGATCCATTCTATCCTAACTTTCTAGATTTATTTAGAATGTCAAAATGCTATGTGTAGGAGAGTTGTTTGGAAAATCTTCTGGATGACTTTAAATCAATTGAGATAACAACAGATGACGAAATGCGCACAAACTCAATCAGTCCCTTAAAGTGTAAAAGAATTCTAGGAGCAACGAAGCGGATTTTTATCCGCATTTTCTTGAATATCCCGGGTACACAAACGATTTATTTATTTATTAATATAAATTTATTAATTGGCGTTGCTACAACACTCGAAAAGCACTATTGCTACGTATCTAGTAGTGAAGTATCTTCATGTGTAACCACTTCTTGACTTTACTAAGAGCTTCGTTTGCTTTCAAACATCCAAAATTTTTCGTTGCCATAGTGAATATGTATATATTTCATAAATGTATGTGCACAGTAAACAAAGTGCCTAGTAAATTGAAATATATATATGTCTACATCTATGTAGACATATATTCATGTATATGCATATGGTGTTTATATATCTTCTTTACCCATAAAATATACTTAGCCGAATAAACAACACTTTTTAAGATTAAAGGCTAATACTATTCAATTATAGGTAAGAAGATCGATCAGAGGTAACAGCAGAGTTTGAAGTAAACAGCTTATCATATACTTAAGACTTAGTATGCTGACGAACACACATAAGTCTCACCTAACCAAAGTATAGTCGATTGTAGCGAGGTTCGAAATCGCAAACACCGACTTGGCAGACATGAGTCATATCCTTTTATGTACAAACATTTCGGCGTAGACTTGTTTTTAAGCGACCGTTAAGTTATGGCGAATAATTTTCTTTTATGTTCAAATCTCGTGCAGTTTTAAATGTCTGTGAATTGCATCGATGTCTCAGAATTCGTGGAAATCACGATATGTCCCTTCACGCTCTACCTTTATATCTTCGCGCAACGCAAAATTGATTTTGTACGGCTTTGCGTAAATTCTTTAAAATCTACGCCAAAAATCTACGCCAACAATCTCGAGTCGTGTCGAGTTATTAAACCTTCGCCCAAATTTTCTTCTACTAATGTGTATTAAAAGAACTCTGATACGGTTTTACGTCCAACACCATTTATGATGCAAGAACGTGTGTTAAGTTCGTGGGAATATACGCAATATCCAGAAGAATTCGCTAACTCGTCTGCCCGTCTCTCCGTTGTATTTTCTTGTGTTCAATTTATTATAATAATATTTTGATTAAATCTGGTGCTCGGACATGTTTAAGCCCAAAGACAAACGCTATTTGAAATGCTTCGGATCAGATCCCTTTGTTGACTACTTCCCATATGACGCTTTATTTGGTTGTGGGCCATAAGCCACTGTAGTGTTTTGCTATTTTGTTAACAATATCTGCAAGACGTTCTTGTTCTTCTCAAGTTCAAGTAAATGTCCTTAAAATTTTCAAATTTTTTATTAAAAATGTTTAATTCAATTATTAGACTTGGACTAAAATCTTTGCAATAAAACCCGGAATCGTAAAATTCTTTACTAGAAATAAATATAAAACAAATGAATGACAACTCGTTAGAATGGGGCATAAATGGATAAATCAACAATCCAATGTATGCGCATTTGCCCTATCTCTCGCTCTCTCGCTCTCTCTCTCATACTCACCCTCAGTGTACTCATCGTGAAATGATGTTTTATCATAAATTAGTTAAAATAAATTCTCTTTAAATTTAATGCAAAATATTTTAAATAATTATTGCGAAACTCTTTTCGCATTATATTCTCATATTTCCATTCCACCTAAGCGGGCCAAACCATCAATAATAAACTCATTAAATCCATTATCCTCGACCATGATTTGAGGTTAAAATTAAAAGCGGATTTCAACAACAGAACCGTGAACAATTATCAATAGTAGATATTGCGAAATAAAAAAAAAAAAATAATAAAAAAAAAAACACGGAAAAGCTAGCAGCGTCATAATAAAATTTGTGAATGCTTACACTCTCCCGCCTAACGACCTACGCTTGCCTGTTTGCTAGGGAAGGGGAGACGGCGGCATAGGCACGTTATTAAAACATGCTAAACACACTCAGCCTGCACGCATCCGCCTTACTACCTTAGATGAAGCAAATTGAAAAGAGCTTTGGCGCCTAACGCGCTTTACTTACCAGCGATGTTTATGTTTAGTAAGTGCTGGTGTGGCCGCTATTATTGCTGTTATTGCTGTTTCTGGTCGGTGGTATTGTTGATGATGATTTCGGGCAATCAGATTAGTATGCGTATGCATGATGGTTATTTAGCGTTGGCCACTAATGTGTTGGGTTTATAATAAAAACGTATTATAGGAAAAATCTAAAAAAAAAAAAAAAAAGAAATAACAACAACAACCACAAAAAAGCAGTTTTTTCTTTACTTTACGGACGGATAGTGAGCTGACCGTAACAATGTATGTACGTTTGATTGGTTGCAGATTTTTTGGATATTTGCAAGTATTTATGTAGATGAACTTGAAAATATTTAGCAACTTGCCAGAGCAGATGTTTTTTTTTTTTTTTTAAAGTGAAGCCATTTACTTTTTGATGAAAAATGTTTGCAAAAATTTACAAAAGTTTTTTCAATAAATTTTGTCAATTTTTTTAAAGGTTTAATCGCCATTACCAAACGCATAGGTATAGCAATTTTTTTCTGCTATCGTAATAGGGCCACGGTCCACCATTAGATACACTGCTTCGTCTTACAGTTGTTCACGTAACGAGCTGACAAGCTGGGACCATAGATCCAAAACATGGTTCTGAATTTATCTCAAGTTCTGCTGGATACTGCACACATTCTCACCATCTTAATATAAAGTTCTGTCTTAATGTCCGCTTGACCTGATCTCAGCATCGTAGTGAATTAATGAAGAAAGTTGCGAGTTTTCATAATGTGTCCGATTCTTATTTAAGAGCGAAAAAATAGGCACAGGTTGTTCAAAACAATCAGTAAAGGACCAAAAGCTTCTAAAGATATTTGCCTGAACTATATGCACTACGATGCTCTTAGCTGTAATATAGAACAAAATGCACTTGACATGCACGGTATCCACGATTCAGTGCGCGACAAATATAACTTATTCACTTACGTCCCCGTGCAAACATAATGTACGTATGTGGCGCTATATTTACATGTGTCAATAGATATTTCTGTACACAATTATCATCCACATAATATATTTTATTACGTATTACAATTAAAACCTAAAAGGGGTAAATAAGCTTAAAAAAAATTGTGTCAATAATATTTTAAAAAATATTTATTATTGACTATACATCGTACTGCTCCGCTCTCATCAAGAGCAGATTGTTGTGCACTACATTTCATAAGTTTGGTCACAATATCGTAGATTAAAAAATATTTCCATATTTTATAGCATATAACGTAGTCACTGAAATGAGACTAATGTTTTTATCATTCAATGTCAGTCGTAAGGTATTGCAATCCGCTGCTACGTTACACTTAAATCGCGGCAAACATATTCTGAATCTCCATAGAGCGTAAATGAGAGCCAAAGTCTCCAGCTCAGAAAAATGAAAAATAGAATGATATTTAAAATCATTCTTCTTCTGAGTACGGACTGTAGCTGCATGACTCATCTCGTCACACGTATAATAGGCACTTACTCCCCTCATGAACGTGCAGCCTTCGCCAATTGCACGCCGAAGTGCTTTACAATTGTAGCATCTTACCTTCAAACGTCATTTTCTTGATGACCTCACCTAGCTTTCGGCGAAATGCCACTATCAACATATTCCTATTCTCAAACCGTTATATTCGCGCAGACGAGCTCGCTGTATAGTCCTAGACAAGTTAAACGAGTTATTCTGCCACTTGCGTATGATTAATCACAGCCTTATAAATCAAAGAACTTGGGCGATCCTCAAAAAGAAAATTTGTATCTTTTAAGAGCTCTCCAAGTTATCGCTGCCCAAACATCTGGACGAGATTGTAGCCATTTCAATGCCCTGTTCTTCGCAGCCCACTTTGCAGGCTTTGATTCCAATCTCACTTCTAAGTTCGCGATTTTTCTTCCATTTATCCATTATCCCACGGTAAAGTTTTAGCTAACTCTGAATTACTGCCAGCTTTACTGTCTACTTAATTGTACTTATACTAGAGGGCTGCCACGTTTATAATATTGTTGAATTGATCGAGTGTGGCGGAGAAGACTTTCTTCACGCAAATTCACCATGCAATTGAAAAGTAAATGCTTGATGGCAGTAGACTTTGAGCAGAAACCATTTCCAGGCATCTATCTATTGACTATTGGGTCACTTATAGATCGCAAAATAATGATAGACATTTGAAATCTTATCCTTTCCGTTGTCCAGAGATTTGTTTCAAATAAAAATATTGAACAACATTCTCTTATCGAAACACATGATTCATAGCGGCCTATATAGCTTGCCTTAGTATCACAAAAATCGATGACTCCCAACTCCAATATAGATCTAATCAAATGAGAGTGTAGTTGATGGATGTGCATACCGCATCATAAAATTTTAAAGCACAAGTTCTCTTGTATAGCCAGTATTAACACATCAGTACATCAACACATAAATATTCACTACTACATCTATGAGGCGATAATCGGTTTAAAAGTGAAATATCAATCAAATAATTATTTGGTATTTTTTGTTTGGTTGCCCTTATTTATTCTAATAACCACTTAATATAAAATTATGATTTAATATATTGCTGAAAAAAAAAAAAAAAATAGAAGAGAAGAGAAGAGAAGAGAAGAGAATAAAGTAAATAAATAAATTCTAAAAATTCGAATAGCGAATCATTTAAATAATACTAATAATACTAATAATAGCATGAAATGAAACAAAACCAAGGAATAAATAAAAAAATCTCTTTTTGTATTTAGTATGAATATTATTTAGTTTTAATTATAAAATGAATTTTCAGAAAAAAGGAAAAGTGGTTCAGTATGATTTAATTTAAATAATATAATGCGATTTTTTTTTTTTTTTTAATAGCAAACAGCCCACGAATAGCCCACCATTTACATAAAATCCAAAATAAAATATATTCTCATTAAATCATAGGCGTGTGCACTGGAATGAGATAATAATACATGTATATGTATGAAATAAACATACATATGCGTATCTTACACTCTCTCTCTCTCTCTCTCTCTCTCTCTCTCTCTTACATACGTTTCCAAAATACTATAATGGGTATTTATTATATTGAAAACAAGAAAAAAAAAACAACAACAACGAAAAATTAAATATTCACAAAGGCTACTTACAATTGTTCAAATGTTGGAGTTAATAAACCGTACGCATAAAATAATGCGTAAGCTGAGTATTGAGTGTCGGAACACATACATTGTAAAGTGTATTTAAAACTTTTACACACTCAAGTTTCTTTTTTCTCGCATATCTAAAGGTTTTATTATTCAAGCATATGCTTTGCTTTGTAAAGACGACGCCTTCGTATTCTCCGCTTAAGAGATAGGCATCTCTCATAACTCATTTTATTCAAAAATAGTGGAAAAGGAAATATTTGAGCCAGAATGTGCTTTATTAAGAAGTTATATGTAGTAAGTTATGTTATGCATGACGTATACACTACACCGTCCTATGACATCAATTCACTTAAGATATTTATTTTTTTAAGGATTTCAAAGGTTGCCGGAGAAATTAGTGCGTATGCACGTCCGTGCGGAAAACTTTAACGAACTTGGGATTTGAAATTACGACCAATTGCGTTGTTAGTCGCAATCCTCTCGTTAATCGGCTATTAATGCAACTCACACATAACAGTTTCATACAACAAAGCGGAAAAATTGTGATCGTATGACACACTAAAAAAGGCTGACATCAGGCATTACTGAACGATTGCAGTCATGTTGTGTCCTAAGCCTGACTATTAAAGAAATTTCTTTTAGACATAGCGAGCAAGTTAATCCCTACAGGGTGTGGGCTGAGAATTGTCCGTGTATTAGTATAATCCAAATGACTCATACAGCGCGGCAAGTATTGTCCGTTTTATGGAGAGGCCAGATGAGTGCTTCGAAGCGGTACGTAGCTTTTCGAAGACGAGTATATGTCTTTTATAGTGGGATTGAAAATTGGAAAAGTTGTTTTATCAAGATCCGATTCGCTTTTATTCGTATATTCGGCGTCAAAGAAGGTGCGAAAGACTTGTGAATTATTTATAACACATTAAGTGGATGCTTAAGGGACTACATGCATATAAAGAGTATTCATTTTTCATTAGCGTGGATAAGGAAATGCTTTCAGATATTTTTCTGTGTCTCTCGGTCTGTCCATCTGTTTGATATAATCATGAATCTGTTTAAAAGAACGCAATGCACAGTAGGCCTCTCCATAGCAACATAAATAAATTCACTATTTTGTGACTAATGAATAATAAATGTTCTTTTCTTAGAAGATATGTGAAGAAAGGCCCATCTTTCTATCCATCTTTTCGTCTTTTCTGTTGTGTTCAACTTCTAGGCGGCAATTTTTAATTTATTTTAATGAAATTTGGTACACTGACAAGCTTTGACCTAAGGAGTTGTTTTTTAATCGACCTAATCATCATATCTTCATCTAGCAGCGCGTTACACAAACATGATCGTAATTTTTCCGCCGCATTGTACCAGTCTGCCTTATATCAAATCGCGCGACAGCAGGTGGCTTGTTTGGTTTTATTTTAATCGAGATGATATTACACACATAAGAGATACAGCGTAAGGGGAGGCGGCGAGTCCAGCTGGCAAGAAGAAGGCGTGCAGACTTCTCAAGTGTGAAAGACACGATTGGTTTTTCTTTTGTCAAATTCATTAGTCTTGAACAACAATTTCACTCAAGTGAACCTGTGCTTTGTCCGCGTACCTTACGTACGATCACAATTAGGGTTTATTTATAACAAGCCTCTGCCGACAAAAGAAGCCAAGCGAAGCTTGGGAGCTAAGAGATGAAATCAAAGATGATTGTTGCATGTACTACAACTTACATTTTTGCATACATATATGATATTCATAATTTCATTTTGTATCGATTTTAAATCGTAACTTAATTATTGCCAGCTTATCGCTTACCATCATCAAGCATTGATATCATTAATTATGCCAATTATAAAAGCCTTTTAAAAACCATATATTTCTCTTTAATTATTACTTAAAAAAAATTACGTAAAGTGATTTGTAAAACACACCCTTTCACATACTTGTTAGGTTCTTTTTCTTAATTGACGAAGAAACCCTTGCAATTATAAGTGTGAAAACGGGTAAAAATTTTTTTGAAGAAATTTTTGAAGAAATTTTGTTAATAACTAGGACACGTTTGCAACATTCATTGAATCTGAGCAAGCAGTATCCTCGCAAGACGTATAATTTCACGAAAAGTTATTCATTTAACTTCCCGTAAGCAATATATGAACCACACCACCCATGCGTTTTGTTCAGCAATATTCTTTAAATTCCTTCTTAACTTTAATTGCCAAAATTTTTAGGTAAACCACATAGAAGAAAACTTTTGACTTGTGTTGTTTTGTTGGCGTCTTATAGTAGCGGATTGCTCTACCTTAAGCGAAAGCCTAAATTAAAAGCCATTGTAGCCTCTCAATCTTTATTCAAAAGCACTGAGGATTTCATTCATTTATTTCATAAGCGTTTGCAGCAGTGGACAACGGTCCACCATTAAACACTCTTTATTATGCTACAGCTGCTTATATGAATGATGGCTTCTGAAAATAACGCCTTATATGGGAAGTGGTGGCGGAAAACGTTGTCTGATCCGAACGGTTTCCGATAGCGTCCACCTTTGGGCCAAAACACGCCAGCATACCGGATTTTATCAAAGTGTTCCAAGATTTGCGGCCTGCAGATGGAACACATGAGAAGAAGACGGACAGACGGATAGACAAGCTTCGTTCGGTGGAATAAAAAGTGAATCTATCTCAAGTGCTTCTAGCTATTCGCACATACTTCGTACCACTAGTGGTGTAAGATATAAAAACGGAGCTCCTAGTAAACCTCGAATATCTCTTTAGGTTTAATGAAAGCTCCTTTCTTTGCTTATGTAAGAGTATATTGATCGTCACTATTAAAATATTTCTTCGTGGCGAATTTACGAAGTCTTAGAATTGAACACTTTTTCAAAATATAGCTGCCTTGACTAGACAATCTTGAGAAGACAATCTCTTTGACTTGGAAACACTTTTCAGTTTTATTGTAATATTCTGTCTAAATCGGTATCTTCAGAATCTCTTTTCCTTACAACAGATGTAAAAATAATAACGTTTCAGAAACTGTGAATAAATGCATACATGCACAGGTTTTCCCTGTATTCTTGATTAGAATGAGGCTGACAACATGATTTACAAAACATAACACACTTGAAATACGTGTATTTGTTGTTTTTGTACTCTCAAAGCATCGTTGGTGTCCCACTAATTAAAGGTCGAAGGCTGTCATACAACTCATTGAGAGGATAGAAGATACTTAAGCATAGTACGTGAAGCGTTGTCATGCATTCAACATCGCTTCTCCCTCTGCCTTATAAGGCATTTTTCGATTCTTCCTGCTAATTGCAATATCTTCCGCTTCAGTTATGTTTGGCTCTACTACTCCGGATTGGACTTTCTTTTCGTTCAGCTGAAACATCACATACTTCGTCACTTATATGAATACCACACTGAACCGGGTGGTTGTCTCGTTTTTGTGTACTCCAATATATGTCTTGCAGAATATGTAATTGCCCTTTGCATAATCAAAAAAAATTTATATATACAAAAGTCCATTTAAATAAAAAGAAGATACCTTAAACCGGCCAATGGCATTGGTCTTATGTAACGTCCTAGCTGTAGAAGACGTTTTTCCACGCTTTTCAATTAATTTAACTTAATTTTCCTTTGTTTGTTTTAGCAAAATCTCTTCCCCTGCATTGTGTAGTCGAGTCTGTGCATTCGCTGCAAGCTTCTTTGAATATAGACAATCGTAGTCCTTGGAAAAGGAGGCCGAATGTAGAAACGGATAGTTATGTGATTATAGCTGCAGCCACACCATGGTCGGAAATTGTACAAACAGCTTTACAAAGATTGGGTTATTCGCAGGAGACTGCAGCCACAGCTAGAGGTAAGTAAATATGTAACACAAAATAGTACTGAATACACAATTGCACGTCTGGATAAACGTGCGTTCGTTTTCTTGGCCATTGCATGTAACGTCAAATAATCACTCGTAGCAATTTAGATAATTATTTAAGTGAATGGTAAGCTACGCCCTTTCTTTGTTTAGCTTCCAGCTATGCCTGAATAATTAGCAATAAGCAAGCAGAGCTTGGTTAAGCAAACAATTTTTGTTTTTTTTCTCTGTATCAGTCTCTCAGAGAAGGTCCCCCATACATGTGGGCACGATATTGCTGGTTAAGAAGGATTGTAAGTAGAGGAGGGGAGAAGAAGGTAATAATATTGGTGTAAGTTTGACACGAGAATGGGAACATCCGGAGCGGGGGGAAAGATCACTGCAACTCCGTTGCTCTTAATGCCGGCCGTAAGTTGCTGAGGCCCTAGAGAACTCCAAGTAGTTATGTTAAAAGACTTGAATAATGAACAAATCTCTTCCATCTCGGTAGCATATTTGGAGTGGATTTGGCTTTTGCTTGTTAGTTTTTTGACTCTACTACTTGCTGCTTCAATACAATACATGTACATGTACCGCCCAACAGACAAAGAATTTCATGCACTTCTGTAAGTGACTTGCTGAGTTTATAACGCAGAAGAAGTGTGGAAATAAGTCCATATATTAAATATGTAGAGCATACATGATTTGAATAGGATTTCATCCAAAGTTATTAAATATGCAGTTTAATCGCGGAGTAATTTGTCTAAGAATTATTAGAAATAAATAAGGACCCAATCCCAGTTAAGTTGAAGTGCGCTATCTATTTATTCATGGATGTGCCCAGTTCTTTGGTAAATAGTTGCCGCTCTTGGGCAGTCGATCAATTATCAAGTTTGAGAATTCATTTATGATTAAATCTATATGCAATTAAAGCTTATATTTAAACTAAGGCTTTTTGAACACGGAAGAAAGATAAAAAAGAAAACTACCTCTCGTATTCAGACACCACTCGCAGTGCTATGCAGAGATCAAGTCTGCTCCAGCTCTTCGAAACCATATCATATTCATCTTTTTGCGCGTTACTTTTCCCCGTTTAATGTCGGTTTTTCAAAGTCTGTTAGGATCCACATACGAGTTCTGCATTAGGTTTTTCTGCTATATAGCACGTCACTCCCCCGAGTCATCAGTTCCTTACGTACCGGATACCGATTCATGCAACTATGGGACGGGGCGAAAGAAACGACTCATTATGTCTTATGTGAATGCGCGGCCATCTGCAGGAGTTTGACGAACATTTCATAAAGTCGTAACTAAAGAAGAGATTTCCCTATGCATCAAAGTCTTGCACACGACTGTTTGGATATCTCAGCTTCCGGCAATCACTTAGTCTTAGAGTTCCTACTTTTAACAATCCCCATTCCGTGCCGCTCTCCCCCTCCGCCTTTCTCATACAATTACACCTCGAGCCTGAGAAGAACGCGGGATTCATAAGAAGCATGGTTTTAAAGCTGATGGGCCGGGGGCGTCATCGAGGTCGCAAGGGTGCAATAAAGTACAACATCCCATCAGGAACTCCTTAGTCCAGCAACTTTGGTCTGTCATTGTTTCTTCGCATAAATTCCCTTGATTTCTTAACCTCCCACTGCAATCTAGTGCTCGAAAGACCCAAGTACCCAAGTCAATTTTATTATTCAGTCAAAGGATGTAAGGAAAGAAGTACAAGATTGTATTTAATAACTTTTATTATTTTATTCATTAAATATTTTCTAACTTCGTTACAGGTTCCTTGATTATTAAAAATTGGAAACCTATAACGTTAGAGCAAATATCGGATAATCCTATGGTGCCCGTGTGTGATATAATTGGTGAATTGACCTCTGTGGTGACGCTGCGCATCGTAATATTGCGATGTAAGCCTTCACCGTTCGGCGAAATTAAAGATAAACTTTTAAAGCTATTGGTATTGCAATCGCATGCTCTACTACGCTCAACCGGTTGCCCACTGGATGAGGTGAGTACATCGAAAACGATATTTTATTCACTTTTTAATGTAGGGTGCAGCTTATAGAGGGGCTTAGCTTAACACGAATAGTTTCAAGTAAATATCGCAAAATGTTTTTATTAGGATTATAACAAAAATATTTCCCATATTTAAACAAAAAAAAAAAAAAAAAAATATATATATATATAAATAAAGTAAACTCGTAATCATTTTGATTGATCACGTTCTTAAACTAAATGCAGAAATGTACAAATATATATACTTATATATATATATTTATATATATACGACGTTTTATAAAGAGTGCAAATAAGATTTTGTAGCACATTTTTATTGCAATATGCGCCATAAAAATTGATAATTCTTTTATTACATAGTGCTTAGACTGGCAATCATTCAATGCAATCGTTAGCCGTCCTTCTCGCTTTACAAATAATCAGCAAACCCCACGTAAATATATATATGTATATATAATCAGGTGATAAACACTTGAATCTATTGCAATTTTAATTAAATACGAGGTGTGTTCAAAACAAATGGCGACTTTTGATTTTTCTCGAACACTATTTATTCATCCATCAATATTTATTTCGCCTCCTTCAAAGCAATCGCCCTTAGTTATGATACACTTTTGCCAGCGATTTTTCCAATCCTCCACGCGCTTGTAATATGCATTTTTTGATACGACCTTGACCTACTCCAGTGATGCGGTTTTTATTTTCTTGATCGTGACAAAGTTCGGGACGGACATGGCAAAAAAACAGAGAAAAAACCCGTAAGTCACGTTTTTTTTTTTTTAACGCACCTCGTATAATGATAAAATCATTTTGTAGCAAATTGATTTAAAAAAAAAACGAGTCTGCCTCCCTTTAAAAAACTTTTCATATTTTCTTTAAGCAATTTTATAAAAAAAAAAAAATTAAAAAAAGTGTTTTTGAAAAATTAAGCAAACAATAATGACAAAGCTACGGTTAATTAATCTCATATTTGAAACTCATATCTCTTCCTATTGCATTAACAACACTTGGCTCGATATGTGTATCTATCTATCTTTCCTGTTGTTATCAGTATCCATTGTAGATGTTCCAATGTCTCCCAATTTGTGTGTTTAGATATATATATATATATATATATATATATATATAAATGTCTTTGTGTGTGTATGTGCTTTTCTGATTTAATATTAACGTTTTGTGTAATCATACTCGTCATTTTATGGCTAAATGAATCCCCTGGCACTTGAATTGAAATTTTATTATGACAAAATGTTTAATGACTGTGATTTTTTATGGCGTCTATTCTTTGCGCACATATACAATCGTAAATATTTCTTTCTATTAGAATTATAAATACAGGCATATATAGACATATAGTTGTTGATGATGTGTGTTGCTTCGTTATTCGTGGTAGGATTAATATACGGGATTTTCAATACTATGCGTTAAAGATAGGCAAACGGGTCTGCATACATACGTTAAGCTTTCATGATATGGGACAAATTTGTATTCACTAGGATTAGTTAGATAGAGTTGCTCGTTATATCAGTTATAAAAAACATTGATTGATTGCTTCTCAAATGAGGCCACTTATTTTGGTAAAAAAAAAAGACTCAATCCACCTAAAATATTTATTTATAAATTATTGCTTCTAAAAACGTTCAAATGAGACATCGGTTAATACTTTTGTCTGCTTGTAAGAAACAAGTGGCGATAGCAGTGCGATTACCAACCAATAGATGTTAGAAAACTAGACATGAAAAGCTGGACAGGTGCTATAAGTCAGGTCAGAAAATTTATTACTATTGACTTAGTTTCGCAAAGATATCACGACTTATTAGACAATTTAACGACTTTGATGATTTATTGCTTATAAGCCAATGAATGAATGCACTGAAATGAAGCCGAGAACTAGAACAAGGAGACCGCTTCGTTTAATGTCAGATCACTTTGTTTAGAAGATGGATAAACATAAGCATGGATATAACGAATCGCATGCGACAAGCAACAAGAGTTGCGCGTTTGGCTTTTCACATTATCTGAGTTTTGCGAAATAAAAAGTTTTCTTACGATATATATTCCTTATCATAAAGGCTTTCTCGTAGAACATTTCATTCTCAGTGACTTGACTTTTCTGTCGCCAGCTTTACAAGGCATCCTATCTTTTTTAAGCTACAACGTGTACACATCCGGCTATGACGGCTCCTCTAAAGCTGCAATGATCTTCTCACTCTCTCTGCGTCCCCTTGGCAGGAAGAGCACATTATAGTTAGGATCCGCCGCCTAGAATTTCATTTTATTTTATATATCATATAATCAGTGTCTTATTAAGTTGCTTAGGCTGATCATAACAACAATCAAGAAAAACAAACAAGAAATTTTATATTCGGCCGTGACCGCGTCTTTTATGCCCATTACCACTTGTAGAAGCTTTATACGGTCTCTGAAGCTTGTTGTTGGGTGCGACAAACCTTTTGTTAAAAAGGGGAAATATCAATATTCAACTTTATTGAGTAAGTGCCAGACCGCCTATAGAAATAAATATTTTTATATTTGTCCCTGTTGTGCTTTATCAGTAACTACATTTTTTGTTTTAAAACAATTGGTCTCAGATTACGATACATTGTCGTGCTGTCCTTCAACTAATCTGCTTGCAAGGACTCCTAACCTTTGCAACAAATCTGCTGTCGATTGCTGCATTTTTGCGACCAGGAGAACGTTTACCACAGATATTATACACAAACAGGCAGACAACAGACAGATGGACACCCGGACATACTTAAATCGGCGAAGAATTTAATGTTGATTAAGAAGTTTCTTCCGAGGCTTCCTTCTGGGTGTTGCAAACGCTTCGACAAAACGAATATGCCATTCATTCTTCGTTGATTGATATAAGTAGCGTACATAAAAATGTTCAAATGTTCAAAAATTTTCCTTCTTCTTCTTCCTCGAACATTTTGTACTAGAAGGTGCATTTTCTACTATATATGCCAAAGACAGAATCTCACGTTTTACACTTAACCTGTTGTAGGCTGACGGAAAAAACGGCAAGAAAGTATAGCAAAATTGTGAATTGAAAAAGTCAAGCAAAACTTGACTACCAAATTCTTAACTGCTTGGCAGAAGCAGTGAAAGCTTTTCCCTTATCTTCCCTTATCTTCATGTCAATGATCGTCGATTATAAAGAAAAAGAAGATAAAATTTTAATAATTGTTACATTTTCTTTGTATACAGTCCGGGATAAGAAAAATAAAAAAATAAAATTCATAATGACTTAATGTGTGAAAAATCGAACGTTGTTCTTGATCGGTAAGAGACTTAAACGCAAACTAAATCTACTCTCATGCAATATTTTTTTGGCAGATTAATAGAAGATTTATCGTATGCGTTTTGCTAGGCTACTGCCTCCTGCAATTAAATTAGATATGAAAATTTTATAATGTAATTTATTATTTATCAGATTAGATTTGAAAATTGTGTAATGCAATTTATTTATAATAGATTATAGGGTCTACTTAAAGCCAACATGCCAGTAGGTTATAATATCAGCACACAATTTTGACTAAGCATTCTAATTAAGTCTTTTTTGTAGGTGACGTTATCGCAAATATGTCGCAGTTCTTATCAAAGCCCATTTGCCTTTCCGGGGGGTGATATACCCGAAGAAATACGTCGCAAATTTGACCAATGGTGGTCAAATCAATTGTCACCTCAAAGTTCGATGACACCGAAGCTGTTGCCCTTTATGACTGGGCCACCAAATACTGTGACCAGTGATCCCATAGATCACAGTATGGGTACAGCAGCTTTAGCAGCTGCCGCTGCCGCTGCTGCTGCGGCGCAAGCAGGTTTGCATGCAGCATCTTCGGTTGGCGGACCCAATGTGCCGGTCGCCATGGGTCCCGCGATGAATACAAAACGTGAGAGTCTTTTAATGTCTGATACAACGGGTCATCATCCTGCTGCTGTTGTGCAAGGTACAAGTGCTGCTGCCCATCACGCCAACATGATTGTTCATCCAGCCATGCACGCCTCGATGCATCATCATCATCATCACTCGCATCATAGCAGTCTAACGCATTCACCGTTTTCAAATCAAAAGACACGTATGCGCACAAGTTTTGATCCCGAGATGGAGTTGCCACGTTTACAGAAATGGTTTCAAGAAAATCCGCATCCCTCACGTCAACAAATCCAAAGCTATGTAGTACAGTTGAATGCTTTGGAATCGAGAAGAGGTCGCAAGCCTTTAGATGTAAACAATGTGGTATATTGGTTTAAAAATGCCAGGGCCGCACAAAAAAGAGCTGAAATGCGTGGCGGATTGGGGGTTATGCACGCCGCCATGAACGGTTACTTAAGTCAGCATGGTCAATTAGGCCAAACTTCGGGTGGCAGCAGTACGGGTAGCATGAGTAGCCAACAGCAGTTGATGTCCTCCGGCATGGGTAACTTGTCGTTGGGTAACGAATTTATGAAAAGTCCTTTGAGTTTAAAATCTGAGGATATTGATACTATGTCTCAGCACTCGGACGACTTGGAAGAGGATAACAGTCGTCCAGGTTCTCCACAATTGCCATTATCGTTAACAATGCATGAACGTCATCATGTTCGTACAGATCATGACCAAGACGATAACCATAATGAAAATTTGCAACATGAAAATTTAAAGGAGAGAAATCAAGTGATAGAACAATACGGTAGCGATACCATTAATCCAAGCGAGTGTGCCGAAGGAGCTAACTCCCATGCGGAACACAATGAATTATCTAGCAACAAAGAGAAACCATTAGAAGACCATCAATCGTCCGCGGAAAATGTTTACAGTGAGCGACAAATTCTCAAAAGTGAAGCGGACACCGAAGGCAATAATAGCAATAATAGTAATGCCAATAACACTAGTAGTAACACTAATCCCATAATTAATTTGGACACGGAAAATCATCATCATCAACAATTGTCGCCTCAAGCAAACAGTCCGAAGGATGAAGACGATGAGCTCGATATGGATGATGATGATGATGATAACGATGTCAGTCAATTAGATGATTTCCGTTCACCCTCTCCCTCACCGGATTTAGCCAATGCCATGATGGCTGGCGGACCACGCAAAGATTTACCGTTTCCCATGGTGCCAAACAGTATGTTCTCTCAGTCGTTTATGTATATGAGCCATTACATGCCCGGTTTCGGTCAAGCGGCTGCCGCCGCCGCACATCCTCATGCTGCAGCGGCACATCATGCAGCAGCAGCTGCAGCTGCCGCAGGTATGCAACCTAACCCTTTAATGGGTGCTGCTAGTGGCTTAAATTTATCAAGCATATCGAGTGAAGAACGCCGTAAACGTAATCGTACGTTTATTGATCCTGTGACCGAAGTACCAAAACTAGAGCAATGGTTTGCCATGAACACCCATCCATCGCACAACCTGATACTGAAATATACGGAAGATTTGAACACAATGCCCTATAGGTGAGTATCTACGAAATGCTTTAACGATTTTTTCAAAGTTATTTTAAATCGTTATGTAATACCGTGCATCATCAACGTTTTAATTTCGCGTTCCATCGGGTTTTATTATGTTCTAAGAAGTATTTTCTCTAACAGTCGACGCCATTTCTGATAAATTGAAGAGGGATTTTATTACATGCGCGGGTAAGTGCTCACTGGGTTTTTGATCAATTGCAAGCAGAAGTAGATACTCTACTTTATTCAAAGTAGAGTACCTTACTAACTGCACAAATTTTGCGATGAGAGAACAGCGCATCATTGGCCCGACACTGGAACAAACGGCCATAGCAATTGATCAGATCCGGCCAATAAGGCGCATGTGGAGCAGATCACGCTTTAGAATTTTATTAAGGTTCTGGGTGGTGGAAATACGTTGGTACGGACCATTGTCGTGTTGCTATGTCCTTCGTTCGTATCTCCTGCGCACTTTTTTGACCGATGCATGACTCACAACGGCAAGCGTTTGTTGATAGCGATGCCCATTAACAGTTTCTCACAATTTCAGCAGCTCGTAGTATATGATTCATCTCTGTCCTCCCCTAACTTAGAAGTTTATCTTCTTTCCGGAGCGCCGTCGACGTACGCGCTTCGTCAGGCGGCGAAATAATCAAAAAGATGAGATAGTGAGATAACTAGAAGATTTAAGTTCAAAATGTGAGTAAAACATACTTACATATAAAGTTGCAAAAGATGGGATAGACCGCATTATATCGTAATAATGTCGATAGCAATTGCTATTAAAAAGATTTACATAATTTTGAAGGGCACCCTATTTTCTTTTTCATTTTCAATTGGCATATGGTCGTAGCTATAGTGAGAGCGCTCGTTCGGTAAATACACAGCACTTGCTAATCAAACACACACCTCCCAGATTGCGGCTACACTCCGCTTCTTCCTGGCTGTCAACGTATTGCATGCATAGAGTACATACCTTGAGTGATTGATTTTATTTTTGAAGATTTTTAAAAAATAGTCCGACACAGCCCCCAATTAATACATTCCTTCTACCCCATCCACTTCTGTTAACGAAGTTATTTATATATGGATTTTTCGAAATAAAGCGTTAAATGGCAGGTAATCGAAAAATTGTCCCCATCCGAACGATTTCCAACATTCGATTCCATTTGATGTAGAAAAAAGAAGGGGCGCGCGAAAACCGCTTACCAGACTATCGGAATGAACTGCTAACGGAAAGAAGCTTCACACGGCATATTCAAAGAAGTGCGTATAGCTATATATAAGAAGTAAAAAAAAGGATTGTGCTACAGCCCACCCTTCAATATTGAAAGACATTTACTTGAACTTTAGAAGAACAAGACCGTTTTGCAGATATTGTTAACAAAATAGTAAAACACTACAATGGCTTAAGGCCGACCATTATAAATGATACATAACCCCACAATTATTATTATGGGGGAAAAAGTTGTCCAATCTGAACCATTCTCGACAGCGTTTGTCCTTCGGCCAAAGCACGTGAGTGCGGAAGATTTTCAGGAAGTATCTCAGAAAATTTCGTTGATTGAACGAAAGAACACAAGACCTGCAGACGGATAGACAAGCGCTTGGTATAATAAAGGATGGGTGTACCTCAAGTTCTTGTTTATGTCCGTTGCACCGCAAGTTGTGCGACATAAAAAAGTCTCTACAATAGTAATAAAGTCCATCTTTAAAGCTTCACTAAGCAATATACATATATACATTTATATATATATATATAAATGTGAATAAATAGTTTTAATTATTGAAATAAAAAGAATTAACGATTAATTATTTATTTCTTTTTCATCATTGCAGACAAAAATTTCCACGTTTAGAAAGTAAGAATGTACAGTTCTGGTTTAAAAATCGTCGTGCCAAATGCAAACGTTTAAAAATGTCTCTCTACGATAACAGTCAGTGCTCTCAGATGTCAACCTTGAATCCATTCGTACATAAATACGAAGAACGCGATTAAACCGTTTAAAAGTTTCATATGCAATAAAACAAAAAAAAAAAAAAATTTAACAGAAATCATATCAAAATTAATATAATTACAGTGAAAATACAAAAAAAAAAAACATAAAATTATTAAAAGAAATAAAAAAACAAAAACAATTTAATTATTTAACGAGAAAATCCAGCCAATTTTTTGATTAAAACAAAAAAAAAAAAATTAAAAAAAAAACAAAAAAAAAAAAAAAAAAAAAAAAAAAAAAAAACAAGAGATACAAACCGCCTAAGTTAACTACTAACTAGGCTCCGTTACAAGCATAAGAGTGTAGAGATATTTTTTTTTTAAAAATTTGAAAAAAAAAAAAAAAATAAATTTTTGTTTACATTTTCTCTTGGAATTTCTTTTATGAACATTTCTTGGTTTTTCTCTTTTATAGTTAAATAAATTTAAGCAACCAAAGATGGCATTTTAAACGTAACTAGAGACTTTATTATAGTTTTCTTTTCTCCTTTTTTTTTTTTTTTTTTTTTTTGTTTTTTTTAACTATTAAGTATTTAAAATTTGTAAATCGCTATAGATTGTAAATCGAAGTAATTTATTATTTATAATATCTCATTAAAACAAAAAAAAAAAAAAAAACACAAAAAAAATTCTTGGCCTTAATTTAATTTTTTAAGTTTTATATATACATTTAAGTCCGGCTTACAAAGTTTCGAATCCAACTTTGCACACACACACAGATTATGAGAAAAAACCGTATGAGTTCGATACGAGGGCTGTTAAAAAAATTCAAAGAATTTTTTGAATTTCTTGATTCTATTACATAAGTTTTGCTTCGTCGCTCTAAAGCATTAAAGTGTATTTCAATTGAATATTGCGGATGTGTGGACGCATGCGCACTATTCATTAATCATTGATCGCCATACATTAATGAAAAAACAGTCTACAAGTAATATGAACGGTATCAAGAGCAACCGCAAATAGTAATCTTTCTTATTGGTCGAATTAAAAAACAAGTAAAAACATTATAGTCGAACAAGGCCGGCTATCAAATACGGTGCACCACTTTGCTTGATACAACCCTTCGTTTATTTTCTTTATCAAACACCAAAAATACACCTTCCATGTTTCCACGTAACGACATTTTTTCCCTAGGAACCCTTATATGAAAGTGGGCCCACAACATGGTAACACTGACAGGATACAGGTTTAATGGATTTGAAATTGCTATCAAAGATCTTAGCATTCTTCATTTACTTCTCCTACAAAGCACTAAAGATTCGACTTTCGGACTGAGGTCCAAAACATTGACCTATGTGATTGCTAATAGTTTTAGTAAAATTTAATATGAAGTTGAAATATGTAACGGACCAATCTTCACGTTAAAGTACTTGAACTCATATGTTTTCTCTATATCCTTAATTACTTTTCGCAGAAACGGTTATATTGGGCGGGATCCAAAAACTTGATCCATCCGATGCATTTCAAATTTCCAAAGGCTATTACTTAGCAACTTTTTTAGAGAAATTTTGAAATTTCTGATTTTTTCTTTTTTATATAACGGCTTACGAAATGAACCGTCACATAGGGAATGTCCAAGCTGATCCAGTGCTTCGATCAAACAAAAGAAAGAGGTTGACCAAATTTCGTCAATATATCTCAAAAATTACGACTTGTGCATTGAGCCCAAAAGCATGGAGAAACATCAGACACATAGCTTTAGGGTCTGCAGCGGCCTTTATAGCTTATCAGACGAACCTCTTAGGTTTATTGGACGGCGTGAAACCTATCTTGGAGAGTGACAAAAGTCATCTGCTTGCAGTGTTCTTTACTGACAATTCAATTATGTCTGGATGGTAAAGACTTAACAAACAGGTTTGGGGGGTGTTTGAGAAGACGGGGAAATAGTAGTGTGAGTTAGTGCCTCACTACGTTCTGTTGACATCCGCTGCTAAAATCCATGACGGAATAAGTTAGATGACAATCCACGGAGCATGGACAATTGGAATGCAAGAGTAAGCATTATAATAACGTGTGGATCAGGCTGCCCATTTATTTAAGCTTAGGAGAACTTCTTTAGGGATGACTAAGCAGAAGTTATAGCTTGGTGAAACCAGCATATCAGGCGTACAAATTACCCCAATTGTGTGGCATTAAACAATCGGAGGTGCATGTAGACCTTGCCGTCCCCAGAAAGGAGGATTTTGCTTATACTAAAGTCTTGACCATCACCAGTACCATAATCGAATTCTCTGTCTCTGATGTTAAAGCATTGTTTCGAAAACAAGCTTGATTTGAAATTTTCTTCTTATCATTGTGGTCAGCTTAGGTTAAGTCCGAATGAATGACCGAGTAGATAAGCATTGCGATTATCAAGTCAGTATTTGCGGGTTCAAATCTCAATGCGATAGAGTTTGCCTTGATGGCAACTGTAGCGAATGCTCAGCCGGTAAAGGCGTAACGCTTACCGATTGGGCACACATTCACTAGACTGCAGTCGCTTTCCTCTCTCTTTCCCCATTTCTTTCCGATCGTCGCCGCATTACACGCATAGGAAGAGCCCCCGTTAGTGACTGGCCGTCGACGATTACCTAAATCCCTTTACTCTGATCAATTATCAGTAAAACAGGGCACGTAATTATAATTTTTAATTTGCCTGATTATTTGCGGCGAGCTTTTAAACAAATTGCATATGAGTATCTATTGATATGATACAAATGAATGCATGATATAGTGAAAAATTGGTATATCAAACCGCGATAGGGTGGTTTCTTTGTTCTTTGACGAGTTGACAGAAAGAAAAGCCACTAAAATGCAATGATTGTCCCACTTCCAAATAAGAGCTCAAACCCATTCAATTCTACTACACATTTAAGTGTGCTCTTCGATGAGCTCGGGCGACGCGAAGCAAAGGGCAAATGAAACTGACAATGACGTGACCTCTACTGAACTCAAAAATTTGCAAATTCTTTGAATTTTTAACTAATCCTCATGTAAACTCATAAAGGTCCAAATTGTTATTTATTTAATAGATTTTTCGTTGACATTTAATTGATATTCAATTTAAAACACATGCGGAATATTCGTATCGCGGCATTTAATCGATTCAATTGAACAGAATTTTCAAATTCAAAACACAATACTTTTAATAATAATAATAGTAATAATAGTAATAATAATAATATAAAGCAATGTTAATGTGAAAATGGGTGTGCGTATGTTTGTTTGGATGTATGCATATGTATGCTTGAGCGTGTACATCGTTTTCTTCTCTTCTTCCTATACCAAAACTATATATACAAATACAAAATTAAATTAACATATAAAAGCCAATATGTAAATTATTAAAATTTCTTAGAAATACTTAAAAATTATAAATAATTATTGACCACAAATGCATATATATATATATATATATATATATATATATATATTATATATATATATATATGTACGAGAATATTTGTACATTTATTAAAGCGAATGCCAGTATCCGTGCACATATAAGAATATATATATTAAATAAAATATCATAAAATTCGTTTATAAATAAAACAAAATCAATTTTAAATGTGAGAAATTTTAATATCTGTCTACTCCTTCTTTTTTGTTTTCGAAATTCCGTAATGATATATGGGAACTCATCAGATTATTTAAGGTCGGTAAGTGCATATTCTTACATAGCTTGGTATTGAAACGTTGATCGGCGTTGTTGCACAGTATGATTGATAGTCACTTGATGAAGAAGTGGAGGAATTACAAATCATTTTAATTTCGCATTTATGCCACTTTCATCATCAACTTAGAAATTAACGAAATGTAAGGCTTTTCAAATCATTTTCACTTTGTTGAGATATATTTTCCCTCTGTATTTTTTTTGTAGCGATAAAATTTGTTTGAATGAGAGAAAAAAGTTATCCTTCAGCAGTGCTTTAGTTAATTGTTGAGGCAATTTGCAGGAAGATATCAACTTGTGTCGGGATAATTTTTAATTAAATGGGTTTAAGAAGAATTATGGACGTCTAGCCAAGTGGCATCATGAGATTTTTGGTGTATTGTACTCGTCTTTTGTTCAATGTCATCACTTGTTGTTGGTAATGTTTCTTAATGATAACCACGTTTCATTGAAGGAACTCATAGCACACAACATACGGTTGCATAGCCTAGTAGTTAAGAAGCGCGCCTATCTACTCAAGCATCGACGATTTCAACTTTCAGCAGAAGGAGGAGAATATCTTAATAACAACTGGCAAAGCACCGCAACAAGAGCAAATGCTCGTTTAGTAGAACCGTGACTCTTAACCATCGAGCATAGATCTCTTTCAGACTGCAACCGCAACCAATCGTGCTTTCTTCACTTCTTTCTTTCATGGTCGTGTGCCTTTGTTGATTTGTTGTAAGAAAAACGGGGCCGACGTAGGTAGACCAAAGTCTTACTCCCTATGTGAACGGCTTTGCTTAAGTTGAGTTACCACTTCTTCGATTTCAAATATCGTATATCCCAGTTTTCCCTTCGTTACGATTCACAACAACACACTTCTTCGAATTAAACAAGAAAAGCAATGCTTCCCAACTTCAGCGTTTTTTGGTGGAGAAATTATCTTTTATTCGAAGCTCCAAAAAACTACATTGTCTTCCATAACCTTGAAGAGCATACAAAAATGCTGGTGTGTTATCACTTGTATCGAAAAGCCTGGGATTTATTAGAACAGAAATCTTATAAATTATTGCTTATCAAAGTTATAGCTTATCAACCAAATTCGACTGACGCTAGGATAAGGTAATAAAGATGTGAAGATTCCTTGAAGCCAAAATGGTAAGTAGTGAAAGGAAGTGCAAATAAATGAATTTTCCTTTATCCAAGAATACGAAGAACAACCATTTCAGTATTTTCAGCATTATATATACCTATATTTGTTTATTAAAATACCCGAACATCTTCCCACTTTGCGAGATATTTTTATTTCAGGTTTGTAGTAAAAATATTTTTATTTACTTTTTACACCAACCTATGCTGCCGT